AATGAAATGTGAAAAAAAAAAGAAAAAAAAAGAAAATGAAATGTGACTGTAATATAATGAGACTGATTTAAAAAAAATTAACCATCTCTGAAAGATCATAGATTTAGACTGGAGGGGACCTTTGAGATCTATATAGTCCAATCTCACCTCAAAGATTGGAAAACTGAGGTCCAGATGTGCTGTTACTTGCCCAGATTCACCTAGGTAATAAGTGGGCAGAGACAGGACTCAAAGCAAGGTCTGACTCCAACCTCAACTATTACCCAGGCAGTTTCACTTGCCCCCCTTCTCAATCCCTCAATATATGATTCCTTGGGAGAGGAGAAAACTTGTGGTTATATGTACTCTAGTTTTTAAGTCTTATTGCTGTTGTGTGTCATTTGTTCTCAACAAGGACCATGACATCAGGAAGATGATGCCAAGACTTGTAAGTGAATTGAATCTAAGTGAAGGAGGGTTGGTTACATCTCACAGCTTGTTCCCCCCCCACACCCAAAGCTATTAGTATAGTTAGTAACTATTAAAAATCATAGCATACCAGCTCCCACCAACCATAGGATACATTAATTCAAAGCAAGAAGCATTTAATTAGATAACAAGTTAAATAACAAGGGAAATCCTATTTATACATAAAGGAATATATTTTCCTACAAATTTCCATGCCACCAGTGCAAGAAGGAACACGTGTAGGGAATATGTGTTGACCGGGGAACACACGTAGGAGAGTCCACCTGGATAGGAAGCATGTGTAAGTCAGATATTTCTAGTGTCGAGTCCCAGCTGGAGACTCATTCTGCCTTTGATATGGCTGATTGCTGCTCTTTTTCTGATGTTCTGCAAGCTGCTGGTGTTCCCTATTTCCTTTTTCTGCAATCAGGTAGTCCTCAGCAGCTCTGTTCTCAATTTTTATCTGCTGGTTTTCCTCTAAGACTGCAGCAACAAAGAAGCTGATTCTCTACAGGGTGATGGCTCAATTTTTAATTTAGCCTATAGCCTCAGGGGTTATTTTGGCTCTTGTATGAGTCAGATACACAGCTGCACTCAGCCAACCATCAAATGTACTAGGCTTAGATTAATCTTGACTTCTGAACTTCTTTGCTTCTGCTTCAACTACTTCACCTTGAACTCATTTTGTAATTAGAATTGTGGCAAATACCTTTGTTTCATTATACTTTTTAGTAGTGTAGGTCCATGTAAATCATACCAAGGGCTTCACTTAGCAAGATTAAGAGGGAGGGGGTAAGGTAGAATACATGGCCTTTATCCTGCCTTGCTACCCACCAAAATCACTGTCCCTTCTACATATAAATCACAAATTCACTTGGAGTTTTAATCCTTAACCTTTACTTAAATGCCAATAAAAAATCTCTACTTTGTATGTCATGGTTTTTTTTTTAAACATTTATACTTTGCAGTAGAGTAACTAACTCAAAAGAAGAGTCTAGGAATATTCTGGAGAAATGTTGCCAGATTAATTGGGATTCCAAAGGAATACTGGAAAGAATGGCACATCTTTCCCATCATTCCCAGAAATATTACATCAAAAAGCAGTACTTCTGGGAAGGTTGTCCAAATGTAGTGCCAAACACACTGCGTTTGGATTATGTTTATTTATATCTGTCACAGTTACAACTTCGGGGATTTGGACATTTCTCTCATTGACCCTGGTCTCCCCACAACCCTGTCCTGGAGAGTTCCCATGGCTCAGTTTTCTTCCTTAACTATGTCAGCATGACTTTGTTCTCCTCTGAGCTACACTTGTTATCTGGTATGCCCCACTTCATCCTATCTTACAATATTCTCTGCTTGTTATTCCTTTGGGTTATAGACCCAGTTTGAAGTATAATGTCAGAGTTGAAGGGAACCTCAAAGAAAATCTAGTCTAGGACTTCTTCAATGGGTCAATGGGTAGATTTCAGGGAGTTCATGAGTGTGGATGGGGGAGGGAGAATTATGCCTGTATTTCAATATAACTGGTTTCCTTTGTCATCCTATGTATTGTATTTTGTGCATCTAAAACATTATTTGGAGAAGGATCCATAGACTTCACCAGACTGCCAAAGGGGTATATGACACTCAAAAAAGTTAAGAACCCCTGATCTAGTCCCAACTCCTCATTTTATATGGGAGGAAACTGAGGTTTATATAGGGGGGGCAGTGACTTGCCCAAGATCAAATACTGGGCCAATAGCAGAGCCGAGATTTGGACCCAGGGCTTCTTTGTTCCAAGTTCATTTTTTCCCCTCTTTATTCCACACTTATTCTATTCTTTGCCTTTTGTATCCTTGTCTAGTTCCAATCTTCTCCATTTCAGGTACTTTGATTCTTTTTTTTTTTTTTTGAGGCAGTTGGAGTTAAGTGACTTGCCCAGGGTCACACAGCTTCTTTGATTCATTCTAAAAACATTACTAAACTCCATTCTATACAGAACAATGTACTTGGTACTAGGCGAGATACAAAATTATGTAAGACATGGTCTCTGTCCTTAGAGATATTACAATTTAAAAGGAGATAAGACTTGTAGGGGGGATGGTCTTTGTCTAACTGCTAGCCCAGAAGGCTGAGAATGTAATCAAAAGGGTTAACAAAGTATTAAACTAATTGTAAAGAGAGCCTATGTGCTGATTCTTTTGGAATATGTAAACTCAGCTGTACTGAACCAAGCACCAAAAATCCTAGGCTTAGATTAATCTTGACTTCCGAACTTCTTCGCTTCTGCCTCAACTACTACACCTCAAACTCATTCTCTAATGGAAGTAAATGGACCAATATCATTGAACAAACAGGGCTTTAAATAAATAGTTAAGCCATAGGGACAGTTGAGTTCTAAGGGAACCTAGCCTTGTGCTCTGTGATGGAGAGCCTTGCAGGGAGTGGAAAGGAGAGGCTTTCTATCTCCATCCCTCCTTGGTCACGAAGTCTTGATTATGATGTCTTGCCCAGAGGGAGATACCCCATCCAGCAACTTGAGTTCATAAGTTTGAGCCTCCAGTATAGGAGGAACCTGGCTCCAAAGGAATCCCTCTTGAGAGGAGTGTGGAAAAGGGAATTTATTTTTCTCTTCCCATGCAACCTGGCCATGTTGCTTTGAAATAGAGTGACCTTGACTTGCAGGAGTCACCCTGTCTAGTGTGGAGCAGAGACGCATGTTCGACATGTACAGTGAAAGTCACTCAAGGGAAGAAACAGCTTCAAGAAAGCAGGCTCCTGGCAGTAGAGAAGAGAGCTGACTATGAAAAAGAGGAGAGCCTGGGGACCCAGCCAAGCAACACATTCAGGAAAGATGCTCCAAGAGGAGGGTCTATGTACGAAGACTCTATGAAAGAAGGAAGGACCTTCAGGCCTTGCAGTGTCACTTGTTATGATTTGCTTCAGCCGTGGGGTGTTTTCCTACATCTATGCCTCACTGCCACTGTTTATGCCCGTTCTGGTCTTCCCACTGATGCCCTATGCATGTGGGAGACTATGCCTCTGGCTTCTTGAGGGGGAGGAGTATTTTATGCCATCTGAGCAAATGCCTTTGCTAAGAGCTAATTGAGAGTACTGGCTGATTGTTCATGGAAAATTCATTGGTGAACTTCAAGGTAGTAGCCACTCTCTGGGTACTTTACCAGCAAAAGTGAGTATAGATTGAGAGAGGAGTGCAAAAGGGGGTACTTCACATGGACATGTTTAATTATGTAAGTACATCCATTCGATTCAGTCCTGCCTGATGCTTCGTGACCCTGTTTGGGGTTTTCTTGGCCGAGATACTGGAGTGGTTTGCCATTTCCTTCTCTAGGTCATTTCACGGAAGATGAAACTGAAGCAAACAGAGTTAAGTGACTTGCCCAGCGTCACACAGCTAGTAAGTATGTGAGGCTGGATTTGAATTCTGAATTCGGGTCTTCCTTACTGCAGGCCTTCACTCTATCCACTGTGCCACCTAGCTGCCCAAAGTACAATTAGAGAGACATAAAACAAGCCAACCAGAGACATTATTTCTAAATTAGTCAAAGCTTAAGTCAATTGGAGGTAGAGACTGGGTTGAGTATCCAGGGTATTGTGAGATAGAATAAAGTTTGAGAACTCATCTGTAGCTATCTTAATATACTGATAATGTTATTAAACAAAAGAAACAGACTTAAGGGAATGACGACTGATTTTTCAGTACATTTCAGGCTCTGCCTCGACTGTGGACCCTTTCAAAGCTACCCAAGTTCAAAACGCACCGATGCTGAATGCTTTACACAGATCCATCTAGGTTCTTGTCCAGTTGTCTATGGGACAAGACTCACTGGGATATCTCTCTTTATTTACCTATTTGTCTTCCTGTAGAGTTCTAATTCACCAAAATGACTCCTATCGTAAATGGGCTAGAACACAGAGGGGTTCTTAACCTGGGATTCATGAACTTCAGCTTGTTTAGTTTTTACTACTTTGATAATTACATTTCAATTTAGTTGGCTTCCTTTGTAATCCTATATATTTAATTTTTTAAAATTTATTTTGGCGAGGCAATTGGGGTTAAGTGACTTGCCCAGAGTCACACAGCTATATTTTATTTCTTTAAAAACATTATTCTGAGAAGGGATTCATAGGCTTCAGAGTTGGCACCAGAGTGTCAGGTCGAATATACAAAAAAAAAAAAAAAAGGTTAAGAACACCTGGCCTGGAGCCTTAGTTTGTGGAGGAACCCAGTGGTGTGTTTTTCCCTCAGGTGAAATCATATTAGTCATATCCTTGGGCAAATTTCCTTCAGAAACTTTGTGGCATAGTTGCTTCTGAGATGATTGATTGAATTTACCCTGCTTACCCGGGATGACCTCCTTCCAAACTAGAAAATATGAGGTCAAGAGAATGTGAGACAAAGGAATTATTAGAGTTTTTGCCCTGGCTTCTATTTGGAACCTAAGCAGTCTTGCCTCACCAGGAGTCCTTTCCGGGACAGCAGACACTGGCTCTGGATTAAGGCTAACTCATGTTCCTCATTGCTTTTTCTTCTTTATGTTTAATTCCAGGTCTATTAAGAACACTAATCGCCCTCCAGAAGACGGCTGCTGGAAGTATTGCCTCAATACAGGCACACAGGATCATTCTGATTTCTGCTATAAAGTTAAACCATGAGTTCCACCCTGTCTTGTTTTGTCCCCTTGGGATTAGCGTTTTTAATATGTCAAACACAGGGTTTTTTCCTGCCCAATGCCACTCATTTGGAGAAGCTTCTGAGCAAATACCAGAATGACCAGCCTCATTCCAGAGGCAAGAGAGCCATCCCCAGGGCAGACAGGGAGGAGATATTAATGCTTCACAACAAACTGAGAGGTCAGGTTTACCCATCAGCCTCAAACATGGAATATATGGTAAGTGTCTGTTGCAGCCAAGGAGGAGGGGCTGGGGGAGAGGGCCCTGCTTCTTTCTTTCCTTTCCAGCTCTTCTGCAGATGTTTTTCTTTAAAGCTGACCAATGATCTCAATGTCGATTTATGACCTTCCCCACCCCCTACCCCCAGCATCCTTTACCCTTCTAAGCATCTGACACTATTGACTGACTATCCTTCTCCTGGAAATCTCTCCTCTCTTCCCCTCAGTGACACTGAAGTCTCCTCTTTCTTCTGGTGCCTCCTTGATTCTTTTTCTTCTTTTAATCATATTTTCATGATATATTTTGCTTTTATGTTACTTTCACCTCTGCATATGAAAATTATAATGACTCTTGTTTGTGAGCTTTCTTTTTTCCCCTCTTATCCTTTCTGGCTAATTCCCCAGTCTTAGCACTGGAAGGAAACTTAGAAAACATTAAGTCCAATCTCTTTATTTTACTGATGAGGAAACTGAGGCACAGAGAATGAAGATGGTATTACTACCTCCCTCCCTCTCTCCCTGTAATTCTGGGCTTCTCATCATAGTTTCCAATTGCTGTCCTCTTTCCTCTTTAACCACCCTCAGAATGGATCTGGAGAGTGGAGAAAATTAGAGTCAGAGGACAAGTGGATTGGTGGTCCCATCCAAGTCTCATTTGCTCTTTTTTATTAAATTTTTTCCTTTCTTTTTGGCCCTGAGATTTCTGACAGTGTATGGTAGGTTCTACTGAAATATGCCTTAGGAAAACTTGCTTCATAAAGAGGAAAGGGAAAAACAGGAAAGTAAAGACAGAGTGAATGTTGTCTTGAGTTCCGTGTCTGGTCTTCTTAAGCATTAGTCATTCCGGCCTCTTCAGCTAGAAGCAAGGAGCCTTAGAATCTTTAGTTCACACCATGATAATGGGCAGTGGTCTGGGGAAGAAAGAATGATCCTGGATAGCTTCTGAGTGAGGAAATAGAAGGTCCCACAAGAAAGATGTTTTCATTGGCAGGAGGATTTAACCCCGCCCCAACGCTACAGTGTTCTCTGGATGGCTTAATGAGAACAGTTGCTGGTTTTTTCTTTCCCTTTTCTAGTGGTTTTTCCTTTCCCTTTTCTAGTGGTTTTTCCTGGAGGATTTAGGGCACTGAAGAGAAGCTTAAATACCACAGAGAAAGAAGTTTGCTATAAATTAGTGCCACTTGCAAAGGCCATAATCGGTTTTTTGTGTCTCTCTATTTACTTAATGTCCTCTGGATTATATTTTAATGCCATGCCTGGAACTTAAATCCTCTGTTTCAATTGACAAAACTTTGCTTTGGTCTAATGAAGCCTTCTATTGTTAAGAGGTCCCGAGACGGTCCAGAGCAGCCTTAGCACCCTGTCCTAATGGTATGGGCAGAAAACTCAGGGAATCATGGGATATAGAGCTGGAAAGAACATTAGAGGTCATCTCCTTCCCACTTTTGACAGCTGAGGAAATTGAGGTCCAGAGGAATCACTTGACTTGCCCACAGTCATACAAGTAGTGACAGAGCTGGGATTCTGACTTCAAATTTAGTACCTTTAGAGAGCACACAGTCTAATCCCTTAGTTTTACAGATGAGGAAACTGAAGCCTAGAGAGGGAGAGGGTCCCCAAAGACAAAGGGGTAGTAAGGAAGAAAACTGGAATTTGAATCAGGCCCTCTGACTCTAATTCAGGGCTCCTTCACTGTACTACACAGTCTCCAGGGCTTTGTTTCTGCAGATAAAGACAGAAGAAAAAGTGACATCCAGAAACCCTGCTGCTGATTTGTGAAGTATTTAAGCCTTGGCCAACTGTTTCTTCTTTCCCTCCCCCCTTATCTCCATCACTTGACTCCCCTGGCTTCCTTCAGGTCCCAGCAGAAATCCTGCTTCTGCAAGAAGCTGCCTTTAACAGTCCTCCTTGATCTTTCCCTTATGCTTACCTGCAATTCATCCTGTTTGCACAAGTTGTGATTCATGTATCATCTCTCCCCGCCATCACCCCCTGTAGACTGCGGGGTCCTGGAGAGCACCGATTGACTTTGCCTTTTTTTGTATCTCCAGCACAGTGCTTGGTGCATAGGAGGTGCCTAATAAATGCTTATTGACTTGACTTAGAAAGGAATTTTGGACACAATCATAGATTAAAGGAGAAGCATCATCTGGCCCAATTCCTTTATCTTACAGATTAAGAAGTCCAAACCTAGAAAGGGCGGGCACATGGTCAGGGTTAAGGTAGAGGAACATTCCAGGGATGATCTGATTCATTTAGTGGATTTAATATGTTGAATTTATTTTTATTTATTTATTTATTTTGGCTAGGCAATGGGGTTAAGTGACTTGCCCAGGGTCACACAGCTAGTAAGTGTTATGTGTCTGAGGTCGGATTTGAACTCAGGTCACCTACCTGCCCCAATATGTTGGATTTAAATGGCCACCATCAAAGCTACTTGAGGTAAAGTTAGATTTGTAAAAAGCATAGTCATTCCACAAACTGTCCTCAGGTTGTACACTCATTCATTCAGCAAATATGTATCGAGCCCTTTGTTCTGGGTCCTATGCTGGGTGTGTGTAGGATAAGAAGTCATATGACTGACCCAGACAGAGTCCCTGCTCTTGGAGGCTTATGATCAAGGTGACGGTGACAGAAGTCGAGCCTTAAAAGCTTAAAACAGACAGGACTGGAAGTGAGCTCACAGAGTGGTATGTCATAAGTACAGGGTGACAGGGACATTGATCTGGGACTTGACATTTGTCAGCACAACCAATCCTTCTCTGGCTAGAAACAAGAGAGTTTAATACCTGGTAAGTAAGATCAGATTAGGCTAGGGATAGGAGAGAAAGAAACAAGCATTTATTAAGCACCCACTATGTGCCAGGCATTGTGCTAAGTGCTTTTCAGATATCTCCTTTGATCCTCACAACAACACTGGGAGGTAGATGTTATTATTATTCCTATTTTACAGTTGAGGAAACTGAGGCATTGGGAGATTTGCTCAAAGACAAATAAATATTTGAGGTCAGTCTTGAACCTAGGTGTTCCTGACTTCAGACCCAGAGCTCTATCCATTATATCACCTAGCTGGGTGACCCAGGGACTAGACTTGTGATTGATGTAGAGAATTCCTTCTGTCTATGCAGGTCAACTTCTTACTTGCAACATAATGTCCTTGAGAGTTGCCTAGAGCATTGCAAAGTTAAGTGACTCGTCCAGGGTCACACAGCCAGCATCTGAAATTCCCAAGTTAAGATTTTGGTTAGGCTAGTGCACTTGGGAAGATGCTCTGATCAGAAGGTTGGCATAGTTGGGTTAAGTTCTCTGGAGAAGGTGAGAATTAAGCTAGGCAGGGAGGAAGGGGGGAAGGTAATAGTTCAGGAATCTCTTTAATTTGCTTGTGTGAAAGTAATGGGTTTGCCACACTGCTGTTCAGGATTAACGGAGAAGGAATCCCATGGTTCCCTTTTGACAAGGTTTTGTTATAGACCAGATGTCTCCTTCTTCTTGGGAATTCTCAAATGAGAAGGCTGCCAAGACCAAAAATACCCTTCAAGTCCCTTCACTTCCTTCTCCTTTATTAGGTTATTTCTTTAGTTTTTTTTTTCTTCTCCCTCTGAGGAACAGTAGTGAAGGTTATGGACTGGGGCCAAAAACCAGCAAAGTCCACTTTGATAATGAGCTGGAGTAAAAAAAAAAATAAACAGCAGTTTCTGAGAAGCCTTAGGGTTGGCTCAACCAGATGAGATCGAACCAAGACTCCACCCTGCCCTTGGTGTTTTAAAAGGGATTTCCATTTTTGCACAAGTCTCTGCTCCATGAGTGGACTGGAGGTTAATGGCTTCCTTGACCCTACTGGAGGAAGATTTCAATCCCTTTGGGAAGCATATTTAATAGATATACGGGTGGTATATTTTGCTAGACTGGAAGCAGATTCGTATAAGGTGAAACCCTGCCTGCCTACATGTTAGAAGAATGATGACTGACATTGATAGTGACCTAAGGTTTGCAAGGCATATTACAGATATTACCTCATTTGATTCTCACAATAGACCTGGGAATTGAGGACAACAGGTATTACTATCTTCATTTTGCAGTTAAGGAAACCGAGACTTGCCCATGGTCATTCAGCTCATTAACAGTTGAACCTAATCCTTGCCTGACTCCCAGTACCCTAAACTGTGATGCCTCTCTTATTACTGGGTCTTCATTGGACCTGGAACTACTGCCTTTGGTATGTTTCAAAATGATTGGAAATTGACTAATGAGTGAATAAAAGGGAATAAGGGAAGAAAGAATAGTGGCGGATGAGTGAAATAGTGAAAAGATGAGACTGATTGTAACTGTGCATCTGTAAAATAAGATGCAGTATGGGATAGTAGAGAGGGCAACTGAATCAGGAGATGGGAGACCTGGGGTCAAGCCCACTATTGTTACTCACTAGCATGTGACCTTGGGTAAGCCCCTACCCCTCCTCACCCTGCAAAACCGGAGAGGAGATGTTAGGAAGCTAGAGTTTTGGAGCTGGGAGGGACCTTAGAGATTCAACCCCTTCATTTTATAGATGACAGACTTGAAGTCCATCAAGGAAAAATATCTTACCCAATATCACATAGGCAATAAGTGCAAAGCTGGGATTCAAACCCAGGTTTCTTGGCTTCAGAGGCACCAAGGATCCTGTTCATCCCATCAGGTGATGTCTAAGGACCTTGCCAGCCCTGACAGTCTGAGAGTCCAAGAGAAGGAATTTCAGCCTCAAGGACTGTGTAGAGTCAGGCAGGGAAGGGACCTTGGGACAGGAAGGGAAGGGAAGAGATGTGATCCATCTAAGTCCTTGAGTGCTCATAACTTGGTTGGGAGATGCCTGAAAAAGCAGAAGAGAATGAGCCTCTGTTTATACCCATTACTAGTGACTTGGAAGTCACAAAGCTAAACCTGAGAGATATTGATTTCTTACATGAAGCATCTCTAACAGCACTTCCTCCAACTGTACTAGGAATGCTATACCCTGGGCTCTCACAACTGTCCCCTCAGGTAGGAGAGTAAGAGCATCCCTGAGTACTGCTAAGCTCAGTGTAGCAGAAAGAGCATTTGATTTTGACAAGGCAGCTAAGGGGCATAGTCTATAGAACGCTGGACTTGGAGTCAGGAAGACCTGAGTTCAAATCCTGCCTCAGACATGTCGCTTTCTCATCTGTAAAATGTGGATATTAATAGCACCTAATTCACAGGGTTCAATCAATCAAAAAACATTAATTAATGTTTACTATGTGCCAAGCACTGAACTGAGTACTGGATTGTCGTGAGGATCAAATGAGTTAATATATGTAAAGTGCTTAGTAAACATTGAATTTGCTATCTTCCTCTTCCTCCTTCCCTTTCTCCTATTCCTCTTCCTCCCCCTCTCCTCCTCCTTTTCCTTCTTCTCATTATTATTCTACCATTCAGAGTTAAAAAACCTGAATTAGAATCCAGGTTCTGCCACATACTTTGGCCTAGTCACTTCTTCCCTGGGCCTCAGTTTCCTCCTCTGCAAAATGAAGGGGGTTAGACTTGAGTGGTCTCCAAGATCCCTTCCCACTTAAAACCCTATAATCTTCTTTAGCTACTCAGAAAATGACCCTTGCAATAAGAAGGACCTGGTGATATTGCCCTGTGGATCCGATTTCCAAAAACCAATTTTATATGTTTTATTCTTCTGAATAAGCTAGCTACGTATGACTCAAAGCAACTGACTTACCATAAGCCAAAAGACACATATAGCAGTCTTCTCTGGGGAAGAAAAACAGCCCCCATTGAGTTTGTTCATTATCTTCTTTCCTGATGAATTATGAGTTCTCTGACTCTTCTTGGAGGAGGAAAATAGCCACAGACTTATCTTTAGCTTGGGGTCTCTGTTCTTTGCCTAGGCCCCTGTCCAAACCACAGCAGGTTCTGGCAGTGTGTAAGGAAAGGGACCAGTGCCTTAACAAATCCAAGACTGATTTCTTTGGTACTAACTTTCAAGATCTCACACGTCATAAGGGAGTGGCTTATTGTTAACTCTGGTATTCTTCCATGAAGATGACTTTATTCAGAATTGTTATTTTTCTCTTTTAAAATTTTTTAAAAGGCAGCTTCTTCCTTTTAGCATGTTTAGATGTGGTAGTACATGGAATCTGACTTGTAAAGAGAGACCAATGAAAGTTAAAAAGATAATGGAATTTTGGAGTTGGATTCTTAGACTTTTGAGCTGTTTGGTCCAACTGCTTATTTTATAGATGAGAAACTGAGGCCCGGATGCTTCAGGAGTCTGTCTGCCTGAACTCACATGGTGAGGGGGGATGGAATGAGACAATGAGGACATTTTTCATTTCGGGAATATACGTCAGAAGTTGTTGCTGAATTTTGTCTGAAATTTGTCTGTCCACCCCTCCACTTTGCTTCTTTTAGGGAAGGCCCACCTACCTAATGGTGATAATACTGTATCTATGTGGTTGGAGCAGCTAAAAATGGGTCCAACAAACTCCATCAAATGGTTTCTCTAGAGACCAGATTTCACCATTGGGTTTGATGGTTTGTTGATCTCACTGATAATCACCATTGGTCTTTGCCTGTTTTTTGGTCTTTCTTTCTCATGTAGACCTGGGATGATGAATTGGAAAGGTCAGCAGCAGCTTGGGCCCATGAATGTATCTGGGAACACGGACCTGCCACCCTCCTTGTGTCCATTGGCCAGAACTTGGCAGTCCATTGGGGCAGGTAAGAAACAGAAAATATCATTCAGGTTGCTTCTGTGATCCCTTATTATAACCTCCAGTGGTTAGGCCAGGCAGCTGATGAAGCAAAGATTCTAGGATTGGATCTGTATGTGGGTCATTCAGTTTGGTTTTGATTTGTCACATAGCCAAGGAGTAGGCATGGGATGGTACTATTAACACCTAATGCTGTTGGTCAAGAAAATGACCCAGTACTTTCCATTTGTACTACTGAAAAAACAGCTCTGAGTACATCCCCTGATCACATTTGTGCCTTCAGGGTCATTTTCAAATACAGTAAACCCTGCTTCATCATGGATGTGTTACTGGAAGTTACATTGATTGATGGGAAATGGGGAGAGACATTACTCTTATTGCCCTGGTCAGGAAGAGGAACATTCCAGGGATGGGCTGAGTTAGTTTCATAGTTTTAGATCCTGGGGGAAGAATTTCCCTGTTCTAAGTAGGATGATTAAATGAATGTTAATGGGATGAGAGATGACAAAGATTACCATCCTAAATTTATAGCCTTATCTCATATTGCTACAATGGAAAGAGCACTGGTTTGGAAATCAGAGGACCTAGGGTCAACTCTTACCTTTATGTGACCTTAAGCCGTATCTTCTCCTTTCTGGGCTTTAGTGTCTACATCTCTAAAAGGAGGGTTTGCACCATATGGCCTCAAAGGTCCTTTTCAGCTCTGAATCTACAATCCTCCTCTCTTCCCATGTTTTTGCCAATTGAGAAGCCAAACTGGACTAGCTTTGATCCCATGAACATGGCCTGTGCTCTGCCACTTTGCCCATGCCATTCCCTATGTCTGCAATATTTTCCCTCTCCCTGTCCACCTGCTGAATGCTTCTCCATCCTTTGAAGCCCAGCTTACATAGCACCTCTTCCAGGAAGTTTTCCTTAATTCCCCTCCCTCTCTAGTTGCTAACCTCTTCAGACCCTTTACTGTTCTTGAGCCTGGCAATTCTCTAATGCACTTAGAAAATTCTGGGTGTTATGGTGGTCTGTGCCCATGCATAACCTCTCATGTTATTGGACATTCCAAGAGAGGCTTGTCCGAGGGCTCTGAAAACAGCAGGCACCAAACACACATTGGTATTTTCCTTTTATACTCTACCTTTTCCAGCTGGAATTTTTTATGGCTTTTAAAAAATGTAAGTTGGAGATTTGCTTTTATTTGAAGCCCAAATGTTATTTTTCTCCCTTCCTCTGCCTCCTCCTCCCCATTTTCAGTTCTAGAATCTAATTTTGTTCGTAGGTTCCACATTTGGAGATGGGGAGCACTTGCCATGTATTTACAATTAATCCTAAGTATCTGTCACAATGGTAATCAATGAGTCTCAACAAACATTTGGTATGTGTCAGAAACTGTGCTAAGTACTGAGGATCCAGAGAAACGCAAAAACATGGTGCTCGTCCTCAAGGAACTCACACGATATACACAGTCTTGAATCTTGGGGAAGAGGTGGGTCAGAAGGGGATTGATGTTTGCCTAAAAGTTCAGCATGTATCTCACTTTTCTGAGCTGGTGTTCTGAAAAGAGTGAATGTCTTTGGAAGCATTGCTGACCACTACCATGGTGCTCTTGGGCCCAGCAGTCATTGTTACATGACCTCTAAACCACCCAGTTCACCACATTGCTCTTAAATGGTCATTTCTTATTCTAGTTTTGCCTTTGTTGAAACCACATTGTTTATACTTGCTGGCCATAGACCTCCACCTCATCTCCACTCCTGCCCCCCTTTCACTATTTGCATACAGTTTGTTTTCTTTCCTAGTAATATATCAGTGCCAACCTAGAAAACAGAAAAATACGCCACTATAAAATGAATGATCCCACCAGTTTCTGCTGAGAATAACTCAGCTAGTATATCTTACCTGACCAGGGTACAATAACAGGGCCTGGTTCTTCCCTTGGGACTCCAGCCCAGCTGTAGAGTACAGAGGAAAGTGGAATAACTCAGTGTGTGTGTGTGTGTGTGTGTGTGTGTGTGTGTGTGTGTGTCTATGATGCAGAGATGTGGATATTGGAAAGCTTTCAGAGACTTGATTAAATTATTAAATTTTCCAGTCTTTACCTGGGTTTTTGATATCATATAAACAAATTGAGTAGCATTAATTATTCATTAACAAGGTTTCTTAGCTGTGACTTTAATTTTTTTTTGTTCTGAACTAAATGAACACCAAGAAAGGGAAATATTTCTATATACCAAATAGAACAGAAAAAAGGATTCCATATGAAACCACAAATCTATTTTATCTAGTTTGCTTTTTTAAAAAGTATTTAATACATCCAACATGTTACTTTCAAAGCTATCCTGCTTGTCTGTGTTTCCCTCTGAAAATTTTTCTTTTCCCCTTTGGGCATTTTTAAAGATACTTCAATGACTCTCTCTTTTTTTTTCTTTTTGACAACACTTCATTGACCTTTTTTTTTTTAAAGCTGTGTAATATGTCCCTTTGCAGTTAGAATTATAGAACATTAGAGCTGGCAGGGTCTTAGAGATCAACGGCTAATTAAGGCTCCCTACATTACCTTGGGTAAGTCATTTAACCCCTGTCGTCTTCAGTTACCTCTTCTACAAAATGAAGGGTTTGGACCAAATTACCTTTAAAGTCCCTTCCACATCTCACTCTATGGTCATGTCCAGTCCCCCATTGCATAGATAAGAAAACTGAGGAACAGAAAGGGCCCAAGTTCACATATCAGATTAATGAGGATGAGGACCTAGGGCTCTTGTCTTCTACTCAATGCTTTTTTCCACCAGTGAATGTTTCTTCTTTCCCTGATGCTAATTGGTTTCATTTTTCTTTTTATTAATGGGAGGAGGGAAATTTCTTTCCTGTGTCCCCAAGGGTACTTTCTCTATAGACCAAATAATTTCTCATTGTTTCTACATCACTTATTTCTTTTGTATTTCACAAAAAGAAGGGGTTATGGGGACAAATGGAAATTTGTGCCCTCCCCCAATCCCTTTCTCTCTGCTTACTCTGGATGATGATAGAAAGAAAAGTGCAGAAACTGAGTTGTAGTATTTTCACTTCATTTTATTTAAAGTGATTTTCTTTCCTGGGCTTTTCAGGGAACCTTGCCCTCAGCCAGCACTCGGATATGATTTGCTTGAAGGTATTTCCCCTTCTGAAAGCGTGGATCTTTAGCCTGAAAAAAAGATTTAGTGGGAATGTGATAACTGTCTTTATGTCTTTGTAGGGTTAGCATGTGTAAGAGGGATTAGGTGGGTTCTCACTGACCCCCAAAGACAGATCCAGGATCAGTGGGTGGAAATTATAGGGAGCCAAGTTGTGGTTTAATCTAACAAAACCCCTCCCCCCACCTTATAATAAAACAATATTAATCATGATTAACTAATTTTTATTACAAATCATATTTAATAGCAACACAAAACCTCCCTAATTATTAGAGCAATCCAAAGATGGAATGAGCTTCGTTATATGGTAGTGAGTTTACTATCACTTAGGGTCTTTAAGCAGAGGGGAGCTGACTTCTCATTTTAGGTGCTGAAAAGGATTCATGCTTTGGGTGGGGTTTGACTAAGGGATTTGAGGCCCCTTCTAACTCTGTGATTCTATGAACTCATATTCAGAGTAACGAATGTCTTAGGTTCTCTGCATCATCACCAAAATGGTTCTGATTCCATAGGTATCGTTCTCCAGCGTTCCATGTCCAGTCGTGGTATGATGAAGTAAAAGATTACACATATCCTTACCCCCATGAGTGCAACCCTTGGTGTCCAGAGAGGTGCTCGGGACCTATGTGTACTCATTACACTCAGGTAAGAAGCTAGAAAAGGTCTGAGATCTTAGCTAATACAGATCACCAAATGATATCTATGGGTCATCTGAGGGAAAAGTGAAAACAAATATTTTGGGAGAAATTTTGGAAACCAACTACTTTCCCCTACTAACAAGGGTGAGAGAGTGGTTGAGAGACTATTTACTACTCAGAAAAAATGAATAATAAGAACAGATAACTCTTTGAAGTATACTGGCATCAGACTTGACTCCTTGGCACAGAGGTAGCTGGATGTCTAAGTGGTTAGAGTACTGGGTCTGGAGTCAGGAAGACCTGAGTTCGAATCTCGCCTCAGACACTTAAATAGCTGTGTGACCCTGGGCAAGTCCCTTAATCTCTGTCTGTTTCAGTTTCTTCAACTGTAAAATGGGAGATAAAAGTAGTATCCACCTCCCAGGTTTGTTTGAGGATTGAATGGGATAATATTTGTAAACAGCACAGATTGTACCTAGCACATAGTAGGAACTTAATAAATGCTTATTTCCTTCCCAAGCTTATTGATATTGACCTAAAATATTTAGTTGCTTTTGTTATTCTGTACCCCAAGTTCGGGGCCAACCTTACAGCAGAATTGTGAAGCATGGAGGAAGACATTTTGAGCTTTGGTGCCCTCCCACATCTCTTCTGATGCCCTTCTCTATCCTGTGGTCCATTCCTCCTCACCCTCCTGCTCTTACCTTAGCTAGACCAGTTCAGGTGTTCACGATGAGGATTTAAGGTGCTGCCATTCCCAGGGGTATTTGCCTTTTACCAGAAGAGATTCAAGACCGGGAAGTTTTTAGACCTCAAAAGGAAGATCTCTGAAGGTGGAATTTGAAATACTTATGAAAGGTAGTGGGGGAGGCAAAGGTTCCTTGGATGGGGGTCCCCACTCGGTGTTCTGTCAATCACACCATGTTTGCTGCCCACCTATCTCCTTGCAAGGCCGATCCAGAAGAGGACAGATCATCCGTAGCACGGACTTGCTCCTTGGTGGTCTCAAGTGCGTGCCATGTTTGTTTGTTTGTTTTCCAGATAGTTTGGGCGACTACCAACAAGGTTGGCTGTGCTGTGAACACCTGCAGGAAGATCAATGTTTGGGGAGACGTGTGGGAGAATGCAGTCTATCTCGTCTGCAATTACTCTCCAAAGTAAGAATGATAAGAAATGGCTTTTTGATTTTTTACTTCAAAATACTCGAAATACAAAACTCGTTGTCACCAGCCCATGTTTGGCAATGAACTAATCACAACTTAGACCTGGAAGGGATCTAAGAATCCATCCAGTCCAACTCCCTCTTTTATAGAAGGAGAAACTGAGGCACAGAGAGGTTGACTTCCTCAAGGTCACACAGAAAATCTGGGATTTGAACACAGGACCTCTGGGTCCAAAGTTATCTCTCTTTCCGTTGTACTACATGGCCTCTCCACATTGGATTTGGTTTTGTGTTTGTCTTATCCTTGATAGTCTGTGATCTCCTGAAGGACAGAGACTATGGTTTAGGCATAGGATTATTTAGGCCAACCTCCTCAGTCTACAGATGAAGAAACGGAGGCCCAGAAAAAGGAAGTGAGTTCCCTAATGCCAAAAAAAAAAAAGCTTTCTTTGTGTTCCCCGACACACACACACACACACACCCCCCAGCATGTTGCACAGGGTGGGGGGGATAATTAACTCATTCTTTCATGCATTCAAAGTGAATGGTAGTTGTAAATGAATGGGAAGTCTGGGCTGTAGATTGGAGAACAACTAACCCAGTTTATAGCCTGCTGTTTTTAAAGGATTGGCTGACATGGAAACATCCTCATTTGGTTTTCTGTCAGACTTGGCTGTGGTAGGGTGGGCCACAGCTGAGGGTTGGAAGGAAAATGAAGTCCTGGGAGAATACTTTGCATATCTGTGGTAGCATTTCAGGGGCAGGCTTGGAGGAGAGCAGCAGGGCTTACATCACTACCCGGGAGTATGGAGTACAGAAAATTCCATAATAGGAGACAATTTGCTTGACTTTTTTTTCTCTTTCCTCCCCTCCCCTCCCCCAGATACTCTAAATCCACATATTCCAACATACACTGGTTAGTCCTGCCTTAGGAGACACAACTCTTCCGCTGTTCAGAGCCTCTGGTGATCAATCAGCTTGCGTTTGAGCCCTTATAGTGGGTAGGGTATTCTATTAGACACCATGGGTGGGGTCGGAAATAAAAAGGTAGTTAGAAGACATGGTCTCTGGCCTAGAGAAAATGGAAACCTGGGGAAGCCAGCTTAGACAGAAAAGATCTCTTGTCTACTCCTGGCTAAAATAGCTCAGCAAAACCTAAAGATACCTTGCCCAATGAGTTCAGCCCAGTGAGAGAAGACGTGATGTTTTTACTTTAAGATATTATAAAACCTACTGGAGACTTCTTAGAGAACTGGGAAGACCCTCAAAGCAACCAACATTTGTCTCTCCATCCATCCATCTTTCCATCCACAGGCAGTCATTCAGTGCTTACTATGTGCCAGGCATTGTGCTAAGTCTTGCAGATACAAAGAAAAACAAATATACAGTCCCTGCCCTCTGGGAGTTCACATTCCAATGGGAGAGATGCCATACAAATAACTGTGTGTACAACATGTAGACATTATAAATGGGACTTAACCCTAGAGGGTCTGTTGATCAGATTAGTTTTTTTTTTATTTTTATTTTTTTCTTATGGTTTTCTCTCTCTTTAAAAATTGTGCATCATATCCATTGAAGCTCTTTACTCAAACGTTTCATTTTGATGTGGTGGCCATGATTTAAAAAAATTTTTTTGTTTTGTTTCTTATATAATAAGTATTTCTCATTTTACCTCCTTTTACCCTGAATTCTCCCTTTTAAAAAAGAAAAACAGGCAGGGTGTGGGGCACATGCCTGTAATCTCTGCTACAGCAGATGCTGAGGCGGGGGGCCCTGCGCTGGTGAGTTCTTAGTGGACTAAAGTTGACAAGTTGGCCACATAAAATCCTTCATTAATATATTGAGTCCCTAGGAATAGGGGCCTAACAGGCTGTGTGAGGAGAAGTGAGCTGACCTCAGCTGGAAATAGAGCAGGTCAGAGCTTCTCTACAAATCAAAGTGAGTCGAGAGCTGTGAGACATCATCTGGGGCAAGCTACAAAGATGTAGACTTTTAAGAAAAACAACATAAAAATAAATACATTTAAAAAAAAAACAAAGAGAAACTATTAAGCAAACCTGACTGTCGGCTTCTACCACATTATCTATCTGTGGTGTCCTACCTCCTTACTGAGAAGAGTGAGCCAGGATTCTTGAGGTACTAGTAGCATATGAGTTTGAGCAGGTCCTCGTAACCTGGAAGGGCTTTAAATACAGTCCTGGTGATAGACTGAATCTGCCTGTCATCCCATGACCAGCCTAGGTAAATTCAAAGAGATTCATCACCAGATATGACTGAAAAACTATCACCCTGCAAGCAATCAGCTCTCAAAAACCTTCTACTAAGTCATTGAGAGTGGCAGCTAGGTGACGAGGTAGTGCATATCACACCTGGCCTGGAGTCAGGAAGACTCATTTTCATGAGTTCAAATCTGACCTCAGATACTTCCTAGCTAGTAACCCCAGACAAGTCACTTAACCCTGTTTGCCTCAGTTTCCTCATCAGTCAAATGACCTGGAGAAGGAATTGGCAAACCATTCCAGTGTCTTTGCCAAGAGAACCCCAAGTGGGGTCACCAAGAGTCAGACATGACTTAATGGCTGAACAACAACAAAGTCATTGAAGAATTTGGATCTATGCCAACGGTGAAAATAACCAACACCTTCCTCTTGCCTTTTCTGATGTACTTATACTGACATACTTAACAACTGTGCTATTAAAGGGCCTTCCCTCTTTCCATACCAGATAGAATTAAGATGGAGCCTATGGCCATTAGGTAAACCAAGGAGAATGAAAGGAAATGAGAACCTCTCTCCTAGGCCATGTTAGAATCCTTGTTTTAGAACTAGAAAGGATCTTAGAAAGTTGGATCCATTCTCCCCTCCCATTTTACAGAGGAGGAGTGTGGGGCCCAGATAAGGTAAATGGTTTGCCTGGGGTCACACAGATGGAAAGTTTCAGAGTCAGGATTCAAATCTGCATCCCATGATTCTATACTGAGAACTTATTCCACTCTTTTTTCTTATCCTCTCTATTCACCCTTCTTAGCCTGAAGCTGTTCAGACTTTGGATCCCTCCTCCCCACCTGACCTTGTCTTTAGATCCCTGTTTAAAAACCATGACTTCATTGGTGTGAGGAGCTCCCAGGTCAGGAAACTCTCCCTCCCAACTCCCTCCCAATGCAGATGGACACCTTCCTGATAACTTAAAGTCTTAGGGAGTTTCCTAGAGCAATGAGTCAAACTCAAATAGGAACAGATCCATGCCGGCCACATGTTGATTTAAAAAACCACAAATTAACATTATCTTTGTTGTATGTTTATTTTGTTAAACATTTCCCAGTTATAATTCGATCTGGTTTGAGCTGCACTGGGGAGTTTTTCAGCAGGAATTTCACACCTTTGGCCTGGGGCACTGAGAGGTGACTTGCCCAGGGTCACACAGCCAGGATAGGTGGGAGGCAAGACTTAATTAAACCCAGGTCTTTGAGAATGGTCCTCTATCCACTATTCTATCCATGCTGCCTCTTTTAAACAAATATGTGTGTGTGTGTCTGTACATGCAGACATGTGTGTGCAAAAGATTTGGGGAAAAGTTTTTTTGATGCTTTAAATATATATGTATATATATGTGTATGTATATGTATATATGTATATATGTACATACACACACATGCACACACTCACACACACACACACACACACACACACACACTCCAATAGGACCCTCCCTTGTAATGAACAAAAAAGTGAAGTCAAGGAAAACACATTGACCACGTACATGGTCTGTGCTTAATTCTCTTCCTGTAGTTCACCCCATCTCTACCAAGATGAGTGTGTTTTGTATCAATCTTCTGGAGTATTAGATTAATTAGAGTTCTGATGTCTCTTAATGCTATTGCTTCCTTTTAAATTATCCTGGTCATTGTAAATATTGTTCTTGTGGTTCTGTTTGCTTCTTTCTGTATCAGCTCATACAAGTCTTCCCAGGATTCTTAGAAATCCTCATAGTCATCATTTCTTAAGGCACAGTATATTTCTTTTATACTCATGTACCACAATTTGTCAACCATTCCCAAGTCTATGGGCACTCATTCTGTTTTCATTCTGCGTGATGTATTTTGAGAACAGCTGTGGGCTTACTGTATTCATGCAGTATTTTATGCAGTATTTCAAAATGTACTATAAGCCGATAAATGACTTTCCCTTTTAAGAAGAGGCCTGTTCCTAGAAAGTTGGCTCTGATGCACATTTCTGAAATGAATCACAGACATCCACTGACTTCCAGTACAATTTCAAGGATGTGTTCCCACATTGTCTAGGGTTCTCACCTTTCTCTGATGACAGCAAGAGCCAGAGAAAGAAAAATGGAGAGAAAGCTATTCTCCTTAGTAGATGCTACTTCAAACACTAATCTCATGTGGGATGTGTAGCAGGAGCACCAGCCTAGGGTAGAACTTTGGTTGCCACAAGTAAGTGGATGACATTTATATCTACTGTGTACTTTCTCTGTCAGCATATATATGCACACATCCATACATATATACATATATAATAACAAATTTTATATACTATGTATATGTGTGTATTCATCCATCCATCCATTCATTCATTTATTTACTCATTCATCCGTCCATCTATCCATCCATCCATCCATCCATCTATCTAGATCACAGGAATTTCATACTCATACCTTGCAGTCAGGAATCCATGTTTTTTGCTCCTTCATCTAAGAAAGTACAAAAATTTGAGTTCTGACTCTTTTTTAATCACCTGTGACCCAGGACAAATTCCTTGATCGCCTCTTTGGTAAAATGAAGGGATTGGACTAGACCAGGGCTGGGGAACCTGAGGCCCTGACGCCACATGTGGCCCTCTAGGTCCTCAAGTATGGCCCTTTGACTGAATACTTGAGGACCTACAGGGCCCCATGTGAAGGGCCGCACTTGAGGACCTAGAGGACCACATGTGGCCTTGAGGCCTCACTGGACTAGACAATCTCCAGGGTTCCTTGAGGTTCTAAATCCTTTGATCCATATGCTTTTCTGTCTAGCTAGAATCCTTTAGATTACACACTCTGTCCCTCATGAAGAACGTGCTGGAATTGGAGTCAGAAAATCTAAAGTCAAATCTTGTCTCCGCTATTTACAGCTTATGGAATGTTGTACAAGTTACTTAGTCTATCTAGGCCTCAGTTTTCTTCATTGTAAAGTAATGATTTTGAGCTAAATGGTCTTGAAGGTCCTTTCTGGTTCTAAGTTAATGATCCTACAATTTTTTAAAAGTTAAACTTTAATATATAAATGCAAATATATATAAATTTAATATAAGTATTTAATATCAATATAAATTTAATTATAATTTCTCTCAGTTAGCAAATATTTATTTTTTTCCTATAGACCCATTTAAAATAAAAACACTTTTAAAAAATACACTATTTAACAAATAGTAAAACGAATCAATTCCTACATTGGTCATGTCCAAAAATATGACTCATTCTGAGTGCTAAGTCCATCACCTCTCTGTTAGGAGGTGGGTAGCCTGCTTCATTCCAGGTCCTTTGGAATCATGGCGGGTTATGGGATTGGTCAGAATTGTCAACCAATTAGCATTATTTGTTGTTGTTCAGTCATTTCAGTTTTGTCTGACTCTTCCTAACCCCATTTGGGTTTTCTTGGCAAAGATACCAGACTGGTTAGCCATTTCCTTCTCTAGATCATTTGACAGATGAGGAAACTGAGGCAAACAGGGTGAAGTGACTTACTCAGGGTCATATAGCTAGTATCTGAGGTCAGGCCTGGCATTCTACCCACTGCACCACCTAGCTACCCTAAGCATTTATTAAGCACCTACTATGTGCCAGACACTATGCTGAGCACCAAATTCTGAAGTCTGTCAGAGTGTTTACAAAGTCTTTATTATGGTATGAACTGTTCTCTTGTGAACCTCTGCTTTTTGACGTTTAAGGCTGGGGACCCTGCTTTTTCATTTCTGAAATGGCTATAAGAGGGGAAAATTCAGCAGACTAAAATGGAAACACTTTCTGTTGGAGCCCAGTGTGTGTTGGGTGCCGTTTCAGTCCTGGGACTAAAGAAACATTGGTGGATTTGTGGCTGGGCTGGTATTCCAGGGCAAACAGAAACTGACTACTCAGTTGTGGGATGAAAAGGGGCCCCACTGTATCTCCATCCGTTTACCCAGCCGCCGTCTATGCTCGAAAGCTTCAGACTATAAGTTCATGGAAAGAGCCGAGGCCAGCAGCCTCTTTTTTCTTTTTTTTTGTCTTCCGTTTTGAGTACTGTCTGCCATCTTACAAACAGTGGAAACATTCATTTCTCCCTAATTCCTGTTGCCTTTGGGGTTGCAGTTTGGAGATCTCACCCCAGGTCAGAGTCAGGTACCTGGCCCATCCGTGACAGCGGCACTCATGAAGACCTTGGAGGTATGTTTGACAGTTATTTTCTGCTTCTCTTCAGGGGAAATTGGATTGGTGAAGCTCCATATAGAAATGGCCGGCCCTGCTCTGAATGTCCGCCCAGTTATGGTGGAGGCTGCAGGAATAACCTCTGCTACCGAGGTATGAGTCTTTAAATGAAAAGTGTTTTACTGATGCCTTTTGATTTGACACTGCAATTATTTCTGGTAATTACTGGGCCCCTCTCCCCCTTTGAGGAATTTCCTTGAAACAAAGGAAAACATTTAGGGCCCCCCCACCTCAAATTACAATTTATAAATGGTCCTCTGGACAATGTATATAATATTCTATCCCAATAGCCTCCCACCTCTCTGTTAAAAGAGGGAGGAAAAATTCACTATTTATTCTCCAGGACCATTACTGGTATCAATCTGAAAAGAAGATTCTACCAGAGTAGCAAAAACTAGGGTCTTTGATTGAGGCAATTTGAGGCACCACTCAGTACCCAAGTGCCCAGGGGAGACTGGCTAGTTAAATATATGTGAACCAGGAGGGAGTCTCATGGGAGACACAGCCTCACAACGATTACATAAGTTGTTTTGCCTAACAACTGAAAGTCCATAAAGAAGGCTGGAGGAGGCTGGGGTGACTAGTGATATCTGGTCAGAACATCTGGCTCCAGATGCAGCAACAGGGAAACTGGTTTAGATCTGTGCCAACAATGGGGGCAGGGGGATCAGAGTCAGAGAGTCCCTTCTGGTGTCTGCATTCAACATCCATTTTTCACTCCCTGTTAGTGACCTTTGCAGTTTGTCATCGTCTTTGCCAATATTATTCTTTTGGTTCTTCTTATTGCGCTCAGCCTCAGTTCGTGCAAATCTTCCCATGTTTTCTGGCATTCCTCATGTTTGACATTTCTCATTGCACAGTAATATTCCCTTACATCCACGGTAGTTATTTGTTCCATAATCAGAGGGCAGCCCCTTTGCCGCTGCCACCCTGAAAAGCGTTCTGTGCTGGCCACATGTTGACTTAGAAAACCACAAATTAACATTATCTATGTTGTATGTTTATTTTGTTAAACATTTCCCAGTTTTGATTCAGTCTGGTTTGGGCTGCACTGGGGAGTTTTTCAGCAGGAATTTGATACCTCTGGCCTGGGGCGCTGAGAGGTGACTTTAAGAATATTTTGGTATATATCCAGCCTTTGTTTCTGTCCTTGACTTCCTTGGGGTATATAAGCAGCAGTGAGATTACAAGCTCTCATACCTTTAAAAAAGAAAGTCCCTGTTTGCTCCCAGACAGTTTTTGTTAACAATTGAAAGGGGAAACATTTACCAAAGGAAAGAGAGCCAGGCTTTCCTTGGTATGAGAGGACTGAGTTGAAGATAGTAAAGCTGTGTTATATTCAATGCTGTACGCATCCCTGGAGGCTGAATCAGAGCGAATGACCATGTGTAGGACAACATTCGAAGTCGAGGGTGATTCGGGTGACTTCCTTCCTTCTTGATCTTTGGCCAACTGTGTACTTTTGCCGGAGGCTGGCTTGTCAGCTTGAGACAGGAGTTCTTAACCTATCTTGTATTGACGATCCCTTGGGCAATTTGGTGAAATGTGTAGGCCCCTTCCCAGAAGTTTATTTTTAAATACTTGAAACAAAATGTATAATCAGAAAGGAGACCGATTATATGGATATAAAGATTTAAATTTTTTTCCCCATCAAGTTCATGGATACCGTGAAAATTCTTATGCAGAATCTTTGGAAGTGCACAGACCCATAGAATTTCAGGTTCGATAGCACACAGATGGGACTAGGCAGGGGAAAGAGAGCTAGGTTTAGAGTCAGAAATCCTGGCTCTGTCATTTACAACCTGTGTAATAAGTGACTTAACCTTCCTGGGTCCCAGTCTCTCACCTATAAAATTAAGGGATTGGAGTAATTACTTTTATCATCCCTTTTGGTTTCAAATCTGTGCTCTTCCGACTGTAGGCTTTGACATCAAAGGAGGAAAATTCCTTTGTCTTTTAAAGTATGGTTTCACAAACACATTCCTACCTCTTAACACGATCTGTTAACTGTAATATTTTTGTTTTTACTGAGTCGTTTCAGTTGTGTCCGACTTTTTGTGACCTCATTTGGGGTTTTGGGCAAGGATACTGGAGTGGTTTGCCATTTCCTTCTCTAGCTCACTTGACAGATGAGGAAACTGAGGTAAACAGGGTGAAGTGACTTGCCCAGGGTCACACAGCTAGTAAGGGTCTGAGGTCAAATTTGAACTCAGGAAGACGAGTCTTCCTGACTCCAGGCCCGGCGCTCTGTGCACTATGGCGCCATCTAGCTGCCCCATCTCTGTAATATACTGGGAAGTCAAAAAGCATCCTCTCCCTCCTGAGATTGTCCTGGAGCACTTTGCATGGATCTCTGCTTTGCCCCCTACAATTCCTATTATACTTATCTGAGAAGTGTCAGACCCCCTTAGGACAATTGTTACTTCCTTGGTGACAGGGACTGTGTCACTATCTCCTCAGTGCCTAGCACAGTGACCTACACATAGTAGGTCCTCAACAAATATTGACTTGATTGAATTGAAGTGATATAGCATCATGGAAAGATCACATAGAGAGCCTAGAAAGACTGGACAATCAGGTTCCGCTCCTGGCTCTAATCCAAGCTATGAAACTTCTATTAAATGCATACCATCTGTAAGGTACCATGCTAGGTTCTGGAGATACAAAACAAAAACAAAAAAATGGTTTCTGCCCTCAAGGTTCTATGGCAATACTATTAAATATTCTACGACTGTGGATAATTAACTTACCTTTGCTGCGTCTCTTCTTGACAATAAGATGGGGTAATAATGTGGCACCTACTCCCCAACTTGAATACGAGTTTCTCCAGACAAGCCATACCAGGGTCAAGGCACTAGGTTCAAATCAACTTTAAACCATAATCCACGAGCTCCCACCAGTGTGTTTGCATTTGCTCATCAGCCAGAAGAGGCATTTTTTTTTTTAAAAAGGCATTTGATGAAATAATATAGTAAGAAAAGTCACCACAGACCACTTCCCTCATAACCTTGGGCCTGCTCCTGGGAAGAAAAGAAAGTCCTGTGATACCCTGCATAATGTTTAATTGCCAAATTGTACCCATATAGCATTATTTTAGCATCAATAACTGTCTGGGTTTGAGACCCTCCAGATTTTTCCATCCTGGTAGTCTTTTGATTCCCCATTCAAATGAATGGGAAAGGTCAGTGCACAGAAACATGAGTCTTAGGTGAGCCACCCACTTCAGACCTTTGCTTAAATTGCCTTTTTGTATTGTATGTAGCAGCCTCAGACACTTACTAGCTGTGTGACCCTGAGCAAGTCATTTAACCCTGTTTGCCTCAGTTTCCTCATTTTTAAAATGAGCTAGAGAAGGAAATGACAAACCACTCCAGTATATTTACCAAAAAATACGCTAAATGGAGTCAAGAAGAGTTGGTCATGACTGAAAAAAGACTAAATGAAGCAGTGAACCTTTCTAAGCTTTGGGGCCATCCTACAATGGGTTCATAAATTACAGTTGGAAGGGACATTGGAGGTCATCTAGCCCATTTAGTTGACGAAGAGACTCAGTCTCACAGAAGTTGTGATTTGCCCCAGCTTATACAGGTAATAAATGACATTGTCAGGATTCAGACCTGGGTTATCTGACTCCATTGCACCATGGTCCCTTCTTACAATCTCTTAAACCTAATGTTGCCATCCTTATTTCCTGGGGGCACTTGTGAAGCTCAAGTAAAATGGTATTATGTGAGAGTCTTTTGAAAAATATAAAGCCCTGTGCAAATTTTGATGTTGTGTTATTTGTAAGAGGCAGTGAGATATAGCAGTTAGAATCAGGATGTCAGAAAAGTCTGGGGGTTGAGTCCTGACAATAGACAAATCACTTCATTTCTCACCTTAAATACTATAGGTTCTAGGTGATTTGCTTTTACATTGGTGGAGAAAGTGATCATAACCCAGAGATCCTCACACAGATGAAAATGCAAGTTTGGACCAAAAAAAAAAAAAGCTAATACTAATTCAGTCTAGAAGGTGCCCTTCCCACATTCCTCTTAGCTCTTCATCTGCCCCTTTAGCAGACCTGCCCAGAGGTAGAGACAGTCTAAAGAAAAACCTTGTAATGAATTTGGGGATGGAAATTCCCCAGAGCTACCCTGGCTAACCGCACGGATCCTTGGTTCCACTCTATTAAAATAGAAAGCATGTTATTCAGTCAAGTGTCCTTGCCACTTTCTTACATGTGAATTTTCCATCCTCCAACTGGGTTTTAAGTCCTTCAAGGGCAAGGATTGTCTTCAATTTCTTAGCATAGTTCTCTCCACACAGTATGTATTCAAAGGTTTCTGACTGACTCACTGACCTACATTAGACTCAATAAAGCTGGGATTATGAGGTATAAAAATCTGGAAGGCTCAAGGAAGAAAGCCTGGCTTATTCTCATTACACCGTTTTTGTTTTTCAATGGAAAACAAACTTTTTATTAGCTGCATTCAAGGGAATGAAGGAAGCCAACAAGACATAGCAAGCACTGACCTGAGCAGCATGTGCAAATAGAAATGTCTCTGCAGAGCATTGTGTGTAGACAGGAACACAATTCTCTTTTTTGTCTTCAAGAGTCTGTGTTGCTGCTGTTTTTTCCCTTAATTTTTAAAAAAGCCTTTTCTGACTCCTCAAATTTAGGGGATGACTGAGAAGAGGAGTTGACATGTGGGATTTTGGATGATTTTATGTCTAGCTAAGCCCTCTATGTTTGAGGCAAAAATTAAGACTCAGGAAATGTTTAATTAGAAGACACAAGCAAGGTATATGGTAGTGTCTGTTTTTGGACAGGCACAGGGAGGGTAAGCTGGGGAAAGAGCAGGCCATTGGGGGGAACTTCCCTCAGTGTGGGAAGAGATGGTTATGACTGCTAGTTTCAACCCAATTCCTCTATTCGTAGACACATGGAGGGCTCCAATGATCCCTTTGGATTTCTCCCTTCTCAGCCACAGCCCAGACCTCCCTTTTACTCCCTCCCTTTGCCTGTTGTTTCTAGCCATGAATCATTTCTGGATCAGCTCATTATGTCCCAGGTGGGGCCAGGGTGCCCTCTCCTCTCTGCTGCTGCTTGGCAATTTCAGTTCTCATTCCTTCCTCTCAGTCTGTCTCTCTCAGACTGTGGCTGTCCTTTTGAGAATTTCTGGGTGTGATTCAAATAGGACTTCTGACTCAGAGATGCTGATGGTCCCAAACTGTTCTCAGGGCCGAGAGGCTATGCACGTTTCTCTGAATGACAAATTCAGTAGTCAAATAGGTTCTCCATTTCCTATTATTCCAGAATGGGAAATTCTGGAGTCAAGGATGGTGGAAGAAAATCACAATAATTCAGTGATTCAATGACCTGACTTCAATGACACAATGATTCAGTAATTCAGTGACCCTATTGCTGGATGAAGAGTCAGAGGCTCTGGGTTAAAATTCCAACTCTGACATTTCTTACTTTGATGACCTTGGCAAATCCCTCAATCTCAGTTTCCTCCTATATAAAAATTAAATGACCTCCAAAGCTCTTTCCAGCTCCAAATCTAACATCCCTGGAAATGTCATGCATGTTGTTCTTAGGTACAAAGCAATCACTATGAATATTACCAGACTATTAGAATATTACCCTTTCCTAGTAGAATTCCACCTGGCATGGCCTCTTCTGTACAACCTTTCATACAGAAAAGTTTCCAGCTATTTAGAAATGAATCTTTTTTTGTGTGTATGAAATAAAACCTCTCATGAGTAAGATATACAGGGTGTCCCAAAAGTCTTATTGCAGTTAGAAGCTTTCAGTAGACTTTTGGGGCAGTGTGTGTGTGTGTGTGTGTGTGTGTGTGTGTGTGTGTGTGTGTCCTTCCAAAATGCATTTGACTTTAACACCAGTATGTCAAGTTCTCTTGGGGAACTTTTGGAACACGCATATGTATACTCATATATCTTTCTCCAAAATACATTTGATTTTTAACGCTAATATGTTATATTCTTTTTCCCCTCCACTAATAAGATGAGACTTATGTACAGAAGCCTGAGACCGATGAGACGAATGAGGTGGAAATGTCTCAGATTCCTGAGGAGAATCACGTATGGGTCCAACCGAGGGTAACCAAACCCACCAAACCCAAGAAAACCACTGCAGACAATTATATGAGTAAGAGACACCCTTGTTCCGTGGCTCCTTCCACCCCCATCCCAATTGGAACCAACCCTTGGGTTGGTTGAGTAGCCCGAGGGTATTGAGAGGTCTCCAACAGGCAAATACTGGGCAGTAGGGTGGAGTGTCAAAGCAAAGTCCCAGACCTTTCTTTTTTTCTTTTTTAAAGGAATTAATTACTTTATTTTTGTTAAACACTGTAAGAATCCTGGACCTGAGGTGCACTTGGGTAGCCTTCTTTTTAACTCAGATGTTTTAAGATATAACTGAAGATATATTCCTGGGAACTATGCTGGATACTATGAAGAATATAAGGATGAGAAAGACAAGAGAGTCATATTTTTTCTTTTAAAAAATTAGCTACATGTCTTATTGATGTTCTTTTCTTCCTCTTTATAACCCTGTCTCTTCCCAAATGACTATGCACAAGAAGAAACAATGATACATCATCTGCATGACAATATATGACTCATTTCTTACCTTTAGCCCACTACCTCTTGCTTGATTCACCAACAGTTCACTGATATCACAATTAGTCACTCCAATGATCAGAGAACTCTTACGAAAGCCTAGGGTCTAGTTAGTATTACGTCTATGAACAGAGGTATCAGGGTCAATCAATCAATCAATAAACATTTATTAAGTACCTACCAAGTCTCAGGCACTGTACTCATTGCTGGGGATACAAAAAGGGGCAAAAGACAGTTCTTGCCCTCAAGGTACTTACAATCTAAGGGGGAGACAACATGCAAACAGATATATACCAACAAGCTATATATAGGATACCTAAGAAATAAGTAAGAGAGGGAAGGACTAGAATTAAGAGGGGTTGGGAAAGGCTTCCTGTAAAAGATGGGTCATAAAAAAACCATAGACCCATGGCTTTGGGAGTTTGGAGGAGGAAGAAATGACTCTTAACTGGGGCATCAGGGAAGGCTTTATTGAGAAGGTTGTGGAAAAAAGGGCAATAGACTAAAAGCCAGGAGACCTGAATTTGAATTCAACCTCAGTTGTGATGGGTTTGATTTTTTTCCATCTCAGTTTTCAGCATTATTTCAATCTATGTGTTTCATGAGAGAAGTTTTTATATGAAAACACCTTTGCCCCATTACTTGCATTAAGAATGTAGTGCAGTGTGCTCCATAAAAGAAGGTCTGAGGTAGCTGTCCCATTTTGTTAAGGGCAGTCCTTCCCAAACCTGATAGTGGGAGATTGCAGAATGTGTCTTCTTCTGGAGAGATTTCCCCTTGTTTGTTTGTTTTCTTTCTTTTTTATCCTCTTTAGCTGTTTCAAATTTCTCTTTTCATTTTTTATTTTGATAATCTGGACTTCTCTTCTCCTAATATTCCCATTTTTCTTTCTTTCCCTTCTCTACCTCTCTGATCAAATTTCCTAACAGCTTGTCTATTTTGTTAGATTTTTTAAAAAAAGTTTCAATAAGGCTTTTTTTTTTTGCTTTCAATTTTGTTTACCTCTTCTTTGATTTTCAAAGTTTCTATTTTTGCATTGTTTGGGAGGTTTAAATTTGTTGATTTTTCTAGTTTTTCTCTCTTACTCTTTTTTCTCAGATCTATTTTTTATTTTTTTATCTCCTAGCACAAATCATCAAGTGTGAGACCAAAATGAGGGACAAGTGTAAAGGGTCTACATGCAACAGGTAACCTTTTGTTTTGACTCCTGTAATCAATGCCTTTATTAAAGGCCTTTAAGTTCATTCAGAGAACAATACCATGCAGCATAGTCTTCGTGGAAAATGGCTTTTGTGACAATTTAATACAACTTAGGTCCCAAGTTTAACAAGAGTACAACTCCATCTTATGTCATGCTTAAAGTGATGCATGACCACAATAACTCACAGGTCCCAATTGACTGCCACAATTTATTTAATGCTTATTCAATGTCCACTGCACCACCTAGCTGTTCCAAATGATGTCTTTAAAGTGCATAAAACTGGCTTTTAAGTGAGTTAATTGTTAATTTTGTGTCCATAATTTACATGTAAAATTGAAAGGCACAGTAATTAAGGTTTCAATCCAGTTCCTATTCAAATCTATCATAAATTCAAAGTTAACCAGGGTCCAAATGAATAAAGTTCTCCTGTTTTTGGAAAGGGCTTTTGTACAAAATGTGCATGAAAAGGACTAAGTCATTGACTTAACAATTAAGTGAAGTATTTGCTCCTAAGAAATGACCTGTTGCTTTTCTCCCCCCTCTAAATCAGATATCAGTGCCCGGCAGGCTGTTTCAACAACAAGGCGAAAATTTTTGGAACTCTTTTTTATGAAAGCGTAAGTGTTGTTCATTACCCCCTTAAGTAGCTTGGGTCAAATTTTATAGAAACAGAAAATATGGCCATTTCTATTCATAGAATGGTGAACCTGGGGTTTAGGGAGCTACCCTGCAAGAATTCCCTACAATTTCGCAACAAGGTTAGGAAACCAGTTTTGAAAACTGGAAATGATCAGCAAGCTGATCAGCCTTCAAACAAACAAAAGAACAAATGAATGAATGAATAAACAAATAAACAAACAAACCAACAAACAAGCAAACAAACAAACAAACAAAACCATACATGGGGCATAGTCAACAGTGGGCTGGCTGTAAAGCCAGGAAGATATAGGTTCAAGGTCCATCTCTGACCTGTGCTGGCTGCAGAGTCCTGGCCAAATCACTTTACCTTCTTCTCACTGCTTTAGCCAATTCCCTAAGATCAGACATTGCAGAAGAGATGCCAACCTGCATTGGTAGAGGAGCTTGCTCAGCTGGGAATTCCTTGTACAGATAAAGTGAAAGGTCTGGTTTCCATCTCTCCTAAGTTGAGAGGGAGAAACTTGGCCATTGATCCTTTTTTAAGATTTTTCTGATCTTGGGGTTTTTGAGGAATAAGAAACCCAGAGAATAACAAAATGGCACTAATGTTTTAGAATAAAGTATCTCTGCATCAGTTCAATCTGTTATAGCCATCTTGGCAGCTTAGTTGGATATGCTCAACCAATACCCGCTATTAAAACTTCTTGTGTAAAATGGGTACTTTACTCGAGAAGAGTTTCCATTGTGATTGACTCTCTGTGTTGCCGTTTTTTCCCCTAGTCATCGAGCATATGCCGAGCTGCCATCCATTTTGGTATCATAGACGATAAAGGAGGTCTGGTTGACATCACCAGGAATGGGAGGGTCCCCTTTTTTGTGCGGTCTGAAAGGAATGGCATTGCATCTTTAAGGTAATTCTTGACTTGGATTTTATCTCAATTCTTTTAGAATTATAGTTTCTTCCCTCCCCTCTCCCTTTTAGTTACCCATGCTATTTAAAAAAAAAAGGAATTTAGACTTTTTGCATAAACCAATGACACTTTTTAAAGCATTGACCAATGGACAGGTCACTGTAGTCATTTTATTAGTCAGTAAGCATATATTAGAGCTTACCACGTGCCACCCACTGGGTATACAAAGAAAAGCAAAATGAGTCCTTGTCTTCAACGAGCTTACATTTGAATGGAGGAGACTACAAGGTGTATACAGCATAGATGGAAGGTGATCTCAGAAGGAAAGCATGAACTGTTGATGGGCCTGGAAAAGGCCTGCTGCAGAGGATGAGATTTCAGCTAAGTTCTGAAGCCAGGCAAGACAGAAGTGGAGGTGAGGAGGACCGAGAGCATTCCAGGCATGGGGAACAACCAATGCAAAAGAATGGAGTCAGGAGCTGGAGTGTTGTATTCTAGAAATAGGTCTAGAAGGTTGGTGGCAATAAAATGAGGTGTGTAGAGAGGATGAAAGTGTGAGAAATCTGGAAAGGTCAGATGGGACCAGGGTGCAAAGGGCTTTAAAAGCCAAACAGAGAATTTTCTATTTGACCCTGGAGGTCATAGCGAGCCAGTGGAGTTTATTGAATAGGGGGTGACCCGGTCAGTACTGGGCTTTAGGAAGAGTACGTTAGCAGCTGAGTGGAGGATAGATTGGTGGCAGGGAGACTTGAGATAGTGACACAAAGCAAAAGACTGTTGTAGTAGTCCAGGCATGAGGTAGTGTGGGTTTGCACCAGGATAGCAGCTATGAGAATAGAGAGAAGTAGGCATGTAAGAGAGATGTTGTTAAGGTGGGAACAACAGATTGTCCATGTGGAGTAAATGCAGAGTAGAAATTGGTGTTATCACACTGAGGTTGTGAGCCTGGATGACTGGGAGGATGACAGAAATAGAGAAGTTTGGAAGAGGGGAGGATTTGGGGGGAAAGATGACAAGTACAGTTTTTGACATGTTGAGTTGAGATGTTTATGCAACATCCAGTTCCAGATGCCCAAAGCAGTTGGTGGTGGGACTAGAAGTCAGGAGAGAGGATAGGGATGGATGAATCTCAGAGAATCATCTGCAGAGATGTTCATTGAAAACCACTGGAGCTGATGAGGTCGCCAAGCAAGCTAATATAGAGGGAGAAGAAAAGAGGGCCTAGGATAGAATCTTGGGGAAAACTCATCATTCATGGGCATGACTTGGATGGAGATCCAATAAAAGAGCTTGAGAATGACTGGTCAGACAGGTGGGAGGAGAATGAGACAATATCAGTATCACAAAAACTTAGAAAGGAGGGAGTATCCAGGCGAAGAGGTTGATTGATGGTGTCAAAGAGTACATACAGATAATTGGTATCATATTGCTTGCCTTCGCAATGGGTAGGGGAGGGAGGGAGAGAATTTGGAACTAAAAAAAAATTTTTTTAAAGGAATATTAAAATTAATAATAAAATTTTAAAAAGATTACATACAGAGAGGTCAAGATGGATGAAGATTGAGAAAAGGCTGTTAGATTTGGCAACTGAGAGATAATTGCTCACTTCAGAGAGAGCAGTTTCAGTTGAATGAAAAGACTTTACCGCAGAGTTTTGAAGACAGTGGGAAGAGAGGGGGAGGCACTGAGTATTTCTCAGATGTCTCCAAGAGTTCAGCCATGAAGGGGAAGAGAGGTAAAGGATAAAAATGATCGAGAATGGTCAATCAAAGGAGTGTTGTTTTTTTTTTTAAACTACAAGGCTATAGGTGTGTTTGAGGCATCAGAGAAGCAGCCAGGAGACATAAGTAAGAGAGATAAGTGAGAGAGCAGGGATGATGGAGGAGGCAGTCTACTGGAGAAAAAGGGATGGAATGGAAACAAGGGTGGAAGATTCCATTGCCCTCTTAAAGATACAGAAAAAAGTTTATGATCTCTATGGGAAAGACAACTGAAGCTGGTGTTAGTGTATTAATATAGTTTTAGGAATAAAGAACTCATCTAATAATTGTAATAACATTTTACAGTTTACAAAGTACTTTATATCCATTACCCACATTTAATCCCCTGATAATCCTGGGAAATAGGTAATGCAGGTATTATTATCCTCATTTTACTGATGATGAGGCTGTAAGCAGTTAAGTGTCTCAGCCTGGGGTTAAGCCCGTGGTCTGAAAGCTAGTAACTTTCAGAAACAAGTTTTGAACCTAGGTCTTTCTGATTCCTAGCCCAGTGCTCTGTCTGCTATAGGACGGGGCTCCTCATCTCATCCAGCCTCCCCGTTTTCCCACTGTCCCTTACCCTGAATCCTTAGCTCTCCTTTGGTCCATTTCTTCACGAGCCTCTTGCATTTGCTCCCAGCACTCCCAAAAGCTGTCCCCATTTTTCAGTCTACCTGTCTGATTCCTAGAGAGCCAATCAGACTTGGAGTTTGTAGTCCATCCATAACTCATGCACAGTTTAGAGGGACAGAATCATAGAACATCAGAGCTGGAAGAGACCACATGGGGTCATCTAATCCAATCATCTCAATTGTATTTTAGAATGTGATTATCCTGATCATTTTCTGTTGTTTTTGTTTTGCAGTAAATACAAGGCTTCTAACTCATTCATGGTTTCCAAAGTAACAGGTAAGCCTTTTGTTGGGATATAATAATAGCTAGTATTTATATAGCCCTTTAAGAGTTACATAATGCTTTACAAATGTCACCTCATTTGTTCTTCAAAACAACCCTGGGAGGTAGTTGCTATTATCATCCCCATTTTACTGTCCAGGACTCTGAGGCAGACTTCAGTTAAATGACCTGCCCAGGGTCACACAGCTGGTAAATGGCTGTGGTTGGATCTGAACTCAAGATCTTGCTGATTTCAGCTCCAGCCACCTACCCGCTGTAGAAGATAACAAAAGTTAATTTAGATTTCTACTGGAAAATCCCTAAAGTGCCTTGCACATAAGTAAATGCTTTAAGATGCTTATTGCATTGAGAGTACTAGGCTGGGAGTCAGAATTTAGTATCTTGTCGCTACCAAGCTGTGGATGTTAGATGAGTCCCATCACTTTTGGGCTAGAGTTTCCCTATCTGCTAATGGTAAAGGTACCTGTTTTATATGTTAACAATCCATAAGACATTAGAACAGGAAACGCTGTTAGAGATCATCAAATCCTTGCCCTAGGGCAGCTATGGGCACAGTGGATAGGGTGCAGGCCTGGGGTCAGGAAGACCTGAATTCAAATCCAGCCTCAGATACTTACTAGCTGTGTGACCCTGGGCAAATCACTTACCCCTGTTGGCCTCAGTTTCCTCACCTGTAAAATGAGCTGCAGAGGGAAATGACAAACCACTCCAGTATCTTTGCCAAGAAAACTCCAAATGGGGGTCACGGAGAGTCAGACATGACCGAAACAGTTGAACAACACCAAATTCATACCCTTCATTTTATAGGATAGGGAAAGTAACTTGCTCATGCCTTTCTCATTTTCCACTGTGTTTGTTTCCACAGTGCAGGACCTGGATTGTTACAACACCGTTGCTGAGCTGTGTCAGTTTGAGAAGCCAATGAAACATTGCCCAAGGTAATGCTGCCACCTGGGGAACTGACTCAGTGCCCAAGCTTGTGCCAATGATAGCTGGTACTCCTTCAGCATGGCGATGTTCTAACACACGTCTCTACCACACTGAGAGAGACCGAGGGGTGACCAAAGTCAAGTTCAGGTGCATTTAGTCTCCCAAACTGGTGCTGATTCTCTTTCCTTATCAGAGATTTCCAGTGAGATCTGGATTTAACCCAATGCTTCCAAGTGATTTGGAGATAAAGTTGGGAAATTTCTTCTGCAATTGTATTAGTTTGTATAAACAATTTATTTTCAGAACAAGCAAGACTTTTTGTTCACTGTGAATTTCCAACATTGTTGCACTCTGTCTTTGTTTCATTCTTTCTCATCCATCTCTTTAAGTGTCTCTCTTCTCTGTGTATATCTCTGTCTCTTTTTGTCTCTCTCTTACCCTGCCCTCTCTCTGTTACACACACACATAAGATTTTCATAATCATAAACCATTTTAAAAATTTATGTAAGAACTCATGGTAGGTTTTCAGTGAAATCACTTGTAGAGAAAAAATGATTTGTCTCAGTCTTATTGTGGTGTTTAGATACACCTCTGTTGACTCTCAATTGTTTTTGATTATATAAATTGCCATACAAGTTCGGGAGGTAAGAGACTAGAGGGGGGGTCAGTTTTCATTTTCCCCAAACCATCATGCTATGTGATTCTTAAATCATTGTTTAAAAGTTCTGTCAATGTTCTTTTTTTAACATTGCTGTTACTTTACAGTCACTACTCCCCTCCACCAATAGAACCCTCCCTTGTGACAAAGAAGTTCAGCTATGACTTTCAAATTAGCAGGTGCTCAGAAACTTTGGAAATTAGGTGTAATATAGAATTATCTACAGACTTTTTTCGAATTAGGAGGAATCACTTTCTCCAAACCTCCCATTTTATGTATGAGGACATTGAAGTTTAGAGAAAAGGAAGTGATTTGTTCAAGGCTGCACAATGACCAACATCAGTGGCAGAGCTAGAAGTAGAGCCCTGGTTTCCTGCTTCTTAGCCCAGGACTCTTCCCAGCACTGGACCAGGAACCTGGAGACACCTTGGTTCAAATCACACCTCCAGCTGTTTTGTGTGACCATGGAGGAGACACTTAGCCTCTCTAACCCAATCTGTAAAACAGAGGTGATAATGCCTTGTGACACCTAATTCAGAGAGTGGTCAGTGAGGGACAACCAAGATAATGTATGTGAAACACTTTGTAAACTTTCAAATAACATACGAATATTAGCCATCATGAAACTAGATGATGAATTCGGATACTTCATTAATTGTGTTCAAAGCACATTAGGCAAAGGGTCAGTATTTGAAATGCATTGAGTTGAAAATGGGCATTTCTTTAGCCCCTCTTTCATAAATGTCCCCCCAGAATCCATGGTAAAAGAAGACAAAATGACACACCAGAGCCAGGCAGCCTCCCAATAGTTAGTGCATTCAGTGCATGATGTATGCCATCTTAAGACCACCAGTTTGAGCTGTGTGAACTGAATGTCTTGTCTACTTTATCAAATCTAAAGTTTGAAATTCTGTGTTCTGAGATGATCTAGAAGAAGGGATGCCCCTCACCATCACTGGCAAATACAGTGAGGTGGGAAGAAGGGAGGAAAAATCTATTTCTCCTCTTTGCAGTTGACTCTTGATGCCCTTCTCGGAGAGAGAACAAGATTTGAATACTTATGTATAGCAATAAAGCAAGCATTTACTACAATGTGCAGAGGAATGTGCTGGGCACTGGAAGATCAGAGTTTACGTGAGACTCAGTTCTTTACCTCACAGATCACACAGTTTAATAGGAGGAGAAGGTACCAATGCTGCCAAGTTCATTAGAGAGTGGCCAAGAAAAGGGTTTTATTAGGTCCCAGAGAGACTGAGAATGTGGCAAAGAAATGCAGGTGGGCAGAGGAGTCCTTAGAATCTATTTCAGTTTTTTTTTCTGGTCATTAATGTGAAGAATAAAGGTTTTGTGCTGTTGTTGTTTCAGAATTCGCTGTCCAGCTCACTGTAAGAATGAACCATCGTACTGGGCTCCAGTGTATGGGACCAACATTTATGCAGATGTGAGTATGTTGGTAGTTTCAATAACAGACACAATCTCAAAGCACTCGAGGTCTTCATATACTAGGTTTCAGTGTCTGAAAATCAGCAAACTTGGATTTGAGTTTTAGCTACATTATGAGATAACTGCATCATCTTAGGTTTTCCACTTCCCTGGTTAGTACCTCAGTTTCCCTACTTTTAGGGTTGAAAGTCTGGATGGGTGAGTACTGGATTTGGAGTCATAGAGACTAGAGTTCAAATCTCATTTCAGACACCAACTGTGACCTTGGGCAAGACATTTATCCCTCTGTGTCTCAGTTTCTTCGTTTGTAAAATTAGAGTTGGATTTAATGACCTCTAAGGTACGTTCTCACTTGAAATCTGTGATTATTATCTTATGATTATTTCTGACTCTGTTCTTATTAATTAGATGCTTATAGAAGCGTGTACCATTTTATACAATAGTCGGGTTAAATTTTTGTAAGTCAATTCCACGTTCCCACTGACTTATATTTTACAATTTCATTTTTTCTTTTCTCTTCATTTCTGAAGAAGTTTTCATTGGTCATATCTTCTAGTGTGTCAACTTTGTTTTCCTTTATCATGGTCCTCTGGTAAAGCAGTTACATTTATAAGGAAACCCAGGAGAGTTCAGAGTTCACCCAAGATTCTTGGGGTGGGACTTCTCATAACAAGAACTTTTAAAGTTAGACTTTTTCACTCTATTTCAGGTTTTTATGAAATAAACACTTGCCTGAAAAGTACTTTAAGCTCCTCTGAGAAATATCAATTAAACAGAATATGTATAATTGAATTAATAATAAATAAATAATAAAAATTAAAAATAAATTAATCAATTTAAATAATAAACAATGAATAAATTCCTCTGAGGAATAAATTAATTAAACATCACATTATGACCATTTAAAAAAATTGGAAATACTGTTAAGCTAGCTGTGAGTATCCCTCCCATCATCAAAGGATGGAAAAACTAGTTTAGAGGTTGCTTCTAGCATATAGTTGGATGGGAAGGGAACTCTCTATTCCTTGCCTTTTTTTCTTTCTTTCTTTGACAATTGGGGTTAAGTGACTTGCCCAGGGTCACACAGCTAGTAAGTGTCAAATTTCTGAGGCCAGATTTGAACTCAGATCCTCTTAACTACAGGGCCAGTGCACTGTACCACCTAGCTGTCCTGTTGCTATTCTTTGTTAAACAAGCATTTATTAAGTACCTACTATGTGCCAGGCAGTGTGCTAAGTATTTTGCAAATATCTCATTTGATTCTTACAATAACCCTAGGAAGTAGTTTTATTATCTCCATTTTACAGTTGAAAAAACCGAGGCAGACATTGATTAAGTGACTTGCCCAACTGGTAAGTGACTGAGGCCAGATTTGAACTCAGGTCTTCTTGATTGCAAGCCAGTAGTCTACCCACTTTTGCCATCTCACTGCTTGGATGAGGAAATGCTGCATGTTGGGTCCTCCTACAGCATCTGAGCATGACCTTTTTTAGAAGTACACCTTTGTGTTACAGATGATTTAGTCCAAGAGGCCGTTTGGTTATAATGGAAGGAGCACTGGACTTAGAGTCAGGAGAAATCTGGCACTCACTAGCTGTGTGACCCCATAAGCAGATCATTAAATTTCACTGAGCGTAAGTTTTCTTATCTGTAAAATGGGAATAGTAACACTTACAGCACCTACCTAATGGGATTGTTTTGGGGTTCAAATGAGATAATGTATATAAAGTGGTTTTTAATTAATTTTTTCAATTAACATGCAATTATTCCCTTCCCACAAACAATGAAAAGAAAACATGTATAATTAAACAAAACAAATTCCATATTGACCATACCCAGAAATAAGTATCTCATTCTACATATTTGGACATCATCTCTTTGTCAGGATGTAGGTGACTTGATTTGCCCTCATGAGGATGGGCAGCTGGGTGGTAAGGTGGATAGTGCTGGACCTAGAGTCAGGAAGAGCCGAGTTCAGATTCTGCCTCAGCTCCTTCTCAGTTGTGTGAGCTTGGGCAGGTCCCTTAACCTCTGTTTGCCTCAGTTTCCTCATCTGTAAAATGAGGGTGATAATAACTCCTACCTCCTAGGGTTGTGGTGAAGATCAAATAAGATAGTATTTGTAAAGCAAGCTTTTGCGAACCTTAAAGCACTTTGTAAATGCTAGCTGTTCTGGAATCATGGTTGATCATTGCATTGATTAGCATTCAGTCCTTCCAAATTGTTTTTACAATGCCGTTGCTATGATGTAAAGTGTCCTCCTGGTTCTACTCACTTCACTTTGCATCAATTCATACAAGTCTTTGCAGGTTTTTCTGCAGCCATTCCCTTCATCATTTCTGACAGCACAGTAGCATTCTATCCTATTTCATATATTGCTATTTATTCAGCCTTTCCCCAGATGGAGAATACTTTGTAAACCTTTAAGTGCGATGTATAAAAACATCTGCTCTTACTGCATCAGTTTTTGGCAGCTGCAGCAGGTACTCGAGATGGCAGGCAGGCTGGTCACTCCCTGTCTCTGAAGCCAGATGTGCCCAGATGTGCTCTGAAGCCAGATATGCCCCCTAGTTAGTTTGAAGTCCCAGCTCTCAGAACAAGCCATTTAAATATGTGCCTTGGCAGGGCTGTCCTTCCCAGGGCCTGTGACAGAAATGTAATTGTAGGTTAAATATTTAAAAAACAAAACTCCTGGACACTAAGGACTGCTTAGGAAAGGGGGGTGGGGGAAGGTTACTAAATAGAGTTGTAGAATCTCTTTCCACAGACATTTCTAAGAATAGGATAAATATTCATTTGTCCAGTATAATTTAACAGTGAGGTGCAGTGGATAGAGTCTTGGGTTTGGAATTCGGAAGAGTTCAAATCCTACCACTGGCAACTGCTAGCTATGTGACCCCAGGTAGGTCACAGATGACTGCCTAGGCCTTGAGGGGCTTGCACAGATGGCCCCTGGGTTCGTCCAATTCTAGATCTGTGATCCCATCATCGATCTATGATTAGGGCAAGTTAGATGTTTAAACGTGAAAAGTGCTGGGCTTGGAGTCCACTCTGAACCTAAGATCCTACTAAGTTAGACACAGGCTGTTTCCCATAGTGGGAATTCGCCTGGTTGATGAAATGACAGATCCTTCCCTTATTCAAATGCCGTAGGGTTAGTTATCTGGGTAGGTACGTGGTGCAGCAAATAGAGCGCCAACCCTGGCATCAGGAAGACCTGAGTTCAAATGTGGCCTCAGAAACTTACTAGCTGTGTGACCCTGGGCAAGTCACTTACCCCTGTTGGCCTCAGTTTCTGCATCTATCAGATGAGCTGGAGAAGGAAATGGCAAACTACTGTAGTATCTTTGCTAAGAGCGTCATGAAAAGGTTATGAAAGAGTTAGACATGACTGAAACAACTGAACAGCAACAGAGTGACTTATTCCCAAAGGTAGGGCTCTAGATCATCCCCATAAGATGATTTTATAGGGTGATTTATGGTTCATAAAATGCTCTAAATACATTGTTCTGACTTTTTTGCTTACAACATCATTGCAAGACAGGTAGTACAGGTTTTGTCAGGTGGGGAAACTGATGCCTACCAGGAGGCTGTGACTCAAATAAGGTCATACCTCAGGTAAGTAACAGAGGTGCAACTCAACCCCGGGTCTTAGGATCGTTTGTCTAAAGCTGGAAGAGAATAAAGAGGCATCAGCTTTCATTGTACCATCTTCGTTTTGGAAACCGACTTTTGAAAAGGATAAGTGACTCATGGAACATCAGATAAGTTACCAGAGTCAGAGCTGGGATTTGAACCCAAGTTCTCTGACTGCAGTGGGGGCAGCTAGGTAGCACAGTGGATAGAGCGCCAGGCCTGGAGTCAGGAAGACCTGAGTTCAAATCTGACTTCAGACTAGCTCTGTGACTCTGGGCAAGTCACTTCACCCTGTTTGCCTCAGTTTCCTCATCTGTAAAATGAGCCAGAGAAGGAAATGGCAGACCACTCCAGTATCTCTGCTGAGAAAACCCCTAATGGGATCACGAAGAGTCAGACATGACTGAAAAATGACTTAACATCTGACAGTTGAGCCAGTGCTCTCTTTCCACGTCTCTTGACTCTAAATCTAGCTTTCCCCAGGACATCAAGCTGCCTCAGCAGACCTGTTGTCTTTTCAGTTCTGGCTGTGAAGCCCCCGTGGACAGGCCTATGCATTTAGAGAGGCTGAGTCCTTTGAGCTTAGAAAAAATTAACGTACATTCGGTTTGTATTTCTTTGTTTTTTAAAGATGGGAGAGGTAGAAGGCGGAAAAATTTGGCCTCTGGCCGTCAGAGAGGTTCTAACTCAAGGAGAAGATGAATGAAAATCATTTTGACCTTAGTGGAACAGGAAAGGGAGGGAAGAGATTGAAAAGCTCTTTGAATTCGTGATTAAACCCCAGGTCCCTGGAGCGGTGACAGAGCAAACAGACTTTCAGTGGGCTGAGGAATGAGTCCAACGTCTTTTCTTGCAGGCGGGGAAGTGGAAAGAGCCAGGCAGGTGGTTTAATCTCTGGTAGCTTTGTGAATCTGGGCTAAACCTCCCCTCCATGGCTCCAGTAAGGGAGCGGAGCCATATAGCAAAGCAGCCCCACAGTTAGGTGAAGGGTGCGATGAAGGGAGGGTTGAAAACCCATCACCCTCTGATTTATGCTGTCTCTGTTTATTAAGGGAAGCACGTTCCTGTCTCTGGTTTGGGACATTCAGAGGAGTAGAGTTTGACTTACAATCTGGTCTGGCGCTACAGCAGAAGGGATCTTAGGTCCAGAGCTGGAAGGGTCCTCAGACAACGTCCAGAGTCCAGGGATTCTTAAACTTTCTTGTGTCTTTGGCAGTCTGGCAAAGTCTATGGACCCCTTCCCAGAATAATGTTTTTAAATGCATAAAATAAAATACAAAGAAAGCCAATTATTTGAAACACAGTTCTCAAAATATTTTTTCAAAAAAAGTTTGTGGACCCCAAGTTAAGAAACCCTGATTG